AAGATCTGCGACAGTTCTGCACTATTTTTAAGCTAGATGAGACTGCACTTAGGGATTTTGTAGTTGCCTGGCTATCCGAATAGATGCAAATGTCTTTAATGTCTATGTCCATGCTTGGCACAGTAGTGGAAGCCTCCTGAATAGCGAGAATTTCTGCGGGCATGAGGTCATTTCCCCCCAGTATGTTGGCGTGGGCAGCGCCGTCTTCTGCCAACTGTTCAGTTTCTCTTAAGCGCAGAGCCGCCAGAGTGGCGTACGTCATGTCCATGAGCTGTATAGGGAGTATTCCTAGAGCAGCACTCGCAGTGGTGCTTAGCGCTCCCGTAATAGTGAATTTATCTTGTCGCTAAACCTCTGGAGGGATGTGATTTTGGTGAGTGCCGGCCACCATATAAAGAATCCATAAAGGGGAATTGGGCGAAGTATCGCTATGTACATCGAGTGGACTCTATATATAAATATATAACCCTTCATTGATGCCACCCTTCTTGATGTATCCTCACATCTTGATAGAGGTCCTCCGGGTACTCCAGGAAACGACCTTGCAGCTCGTTTTCAACCTATGGCCACATGTGGTGTTGGGGCATAGCCAGTGTACCACTGAAAGCCTGTTTGAAACTGGAGGTCGGCAGGTCCAGAGTTTGCATTAGTAAAGACTGAGCACCCCCTCAGCTTTCCGCTTTAGAGTGGGAAAAATGTTATAGAGTTTTCACCTCTCGCCAATCCGCCCCCGCAAGGAGAGTATAGTCGCACTACCATTTTCCCGTAAGTCTTGGAATTTAGAAATCAAATTTGGCAAACCTTCAGTTAGTGATTATGAGTCCGTATGCCAAGTCATCATGATAGGCCGATTTTAAAGGAAGTTATAGCCATATAAGTTATCTCTGCTCAAGCACTGCCCGTAGCAGTTGTTGTAGTCGCTGCTGTGGTTGAATGTATGTAACACACAGAAGGAGGCGTGGCAGACTCCCAAAAGTATGTGTGTATATTATTGATTAGTGTGACGAATCGATATAGCCGTGTCCGTCTGTCCGTACGTCCGTCTGTGTGAATGAAAGGAGCTCAAAAGATACAAAAGCTTGAATTACCAAACTTGGTATCCAGGTTATCCTAAGCCCTAGGCAGACCAAGTTTTTTAATTTTGGTAATACACTGGATTGGAAGTCTTGTTTTTAGACCGCAGAAAGAACGTAGGCTGCTCCAAATCCTAGAGGTAGAAGTTGTTTAATTCAGCCGTAAAGGGTTTAAGGGCTGCGCGTTAGGCTATTTCTAGTTTTCGTGAGGTAATGAACCACATTACCATTTTTAAAAAGAGACAATTTTTTGATTGTTTCAACTTCTGTAGGTGGTTGTTCCACCAAGGTACCCGGTGTATTAGATTACGTTTCTAAGTGGAATGCGGGATGGAGCATTTGGCACTTTGTTGAATGATTTTTTTAAAATGGAATTTTGACAGGTTCGTGAAATATTCCAAGCTTGGGGGTGTTGGTCTTGCTTCGGTTGTGTAGTGTCAATATCGATGTCATCGTACGATGTAATGATTCTATTGAGATTATGTTGGTCAGTGGTATTGATTGTAGACTTGGTGATGAGGTACGTTGTGGTATTGTCGGCTGATTTCGTTGTGCTGGGCGATGTGTTCGGTTGCACGTTTTTGCAATTAATGCATTCTGTTGCAAGTGTCGTCTTCCTCTATATACAATATATCGAAATTAGGATTAGTAGACAATGTATTGATGTTTTATAAAACAACAGTGTTAGAAGGTTTAAAATTATGTTAAATTTGATAGCGAATGATTTTGACGGAAACAGTTGCCGTTTGGGGAAATTTTATGAACATCGATAACGTTTTGTGGCTTAAGCTCTTTTTTATTTTCTGTTTATGATCGACTACTTTTATAATAAAAATAATTGTTTTTTACCCTGTATCCGTAGGGTAAAACGGGTATATTAGGTTTGTGCAAAGTATGTAGCAGGCAGAAAGAAGCTTCTCCAATCCCATAACGTATATATATTCTTAATCAGCATGACGAAAAAATCGACCTAGACATGTCCGTCGGGCTGGATGAACGTATGGGTTTCGGAAACGATTGAGCGTACATTAACCAAACTTCCCCTCAATTCGGTCAATGACAAGAAAAGTTATTAGCGAAACAATTTCACTCCAGTGTTGTTATTGTTGTTTTAAATAGATAGATAGACAATTGTGTATAGGTCACTAGTCCCACGTCCTAACTCTTCGAAGCTTAGGGTGAAACAGTCTTTGCGATACTTAAAACTAAATTTTAAATAAACTTAAAGTAGCTAACTCTTAGTGATTGTTGACCAAACAACTACCGCCAGCTAAAAAACGTCAGTCGTATACCATTCCACAAATCCAGCACATTATCGGCCAATGTATTAACTGCATCGCATTGCGGAGCTCGGCCTGCTCAAATTACTGAACTTCTAAAAAAGAGCTAGAAGTGATTATGGCAGGCACCATAAAAAAAGGATTTGTGAAAACTTAACGGCGACTGATGGAAGCTTCCGTTTACCTGACGGTCTAAGCGCGTTACTGACGGAAGAGCTAGAAGACTAAGAGCATGTGATTGTCAACGCCAGCCAGAAGCTTCAGTAAATCGAAATAAAGTATAGCGCCACCTGAGAGGGCTGTTGGAAGAGATAGAAGGCTAAGAGCATGTGATTGTCAACGCCAGCCAGAAGCTTCAGTAAATCGAAATAAAGTATAGCGCCACCTGAAAGGGCTGTTGGGCGATGCGAAACTGTTTCGTGTAGTAGCATTTTACCGTCGAGAGCAACTGCGCTCGGCAGCTGAGGTGGCGTGAGATGCCGTATAATCAGAACAAAAAGAGCTTTCTTGATCTCATCTTTCCTTTTCAGCTCCTCCGAGTACAACTGGTTCAAGTACCGCTTTTACAAAAATTAAAGACATTCGTTTATATACTCATTGACCTCACATTGGTGTAGGTCGAGGCACATCCTGCTTATAAGCAACACAAAAACACCTCCAACAGATCTGAATACTGAGATATCAGTTTGGGAACAATGGCACATCTTTCTCCAGTACTGGATTCACTGTTTACTAAGCAAGCATCCCTTGGAGAGGAAATCAAAATCCTGATAAGGGATTACAAAAAAACTAAAGCTTACTATTAAGATAGAAGGGCAAGACTAAACCATCTTGGCGAGTAATTCCAAACGGGCAATAATGAAGTTATTACTGACTTAAATGGTTACATAATAGACCACAAATATTTTGAAAGTTTTCTGTGAATTAGGCTTAGCGGTTGTGCCAAGTGACCCCAAGTTAGCTTCTATCCTTTCCCTTCAGTCCGGCTAATGGCAATTGACCCCTTTGCATTACACACTGGACTAGTTCCTAGTCCCTTATTGAAGCAGCACCGTAGTAGCAAAACTTTGATATAATAAAAAAAAGATTTTTAAAAAATTGATAAACGCATGATATTTGCGTTGTCTTTTATGGTCTGAAGTGCAATAACGCTAAAAGAAAAGATTAGAAAAGATAGTCAAGCCCTTTGTTCGTTCGTCAAGTACCAAAAAATATTAAGCAAGAATGGTTGCTTTTTTTGCCTTCCTACCTATTCTATTGCGTGTCACCTGCCGCAGATTGCCATGACAGCTGTGGTGATGCGTGAGCAATGCAGCTGGCAAAAATATATTTAAAATTAATAACTATATTAAATATTTATTATTCGTTATTATAATATTAATATTCATTTGTCGTAAATGTGTATTATACAATTTCTGGTAGTCATAAGTCAACGCAGAAACAACAACAACAGCTGCGGGCATGGCTTTGGCAGAGATTACATTTATTTACTATAACTTTCGTCATAATTGACCTATTATAATTAAACTGAACGCACGGACACATAATCATAAGCTGTATGAAACTGCTTCGCTTTTGTTTTTCCACTACGACGGCTCAACGTGCACGCATTCTAAAAGTCGACCACAAATTCTTTGCTCATTTTCACAAGTGTGTACTTCCGAAAAATTTTTTACAAATGATGATAGGACAATACTGTTGGCACGAACAGCCGCAAGATAGAAACATTTCTATTCTACGAGAGCAAAACGCCGAGTACTTAAATTCAACTCATCCTCACTAACGCCGAACATTTCGTCGAGAACAACAAATTCGGCCAACATGCTCGCGTGTGGGTAGGTTGCTTTCAATATGTATGTACATTCTTTGTACATCCTTTTACCTTTTAGGTACAGGCTATAATAAATAACCAAGAAAGAAATGCTGAACTCGAGCAGGCTCAACTCTTAAATACCCTGTACCTCCCACCAAAAAGGAAAAAATGGGAAAAAAATTAAATTAAATTAAAATAAAAAATTAACTTGACCTGCCTAGGACTTAGGAGAATCTGGATACCAAGTTTGGTTATTCTAGCTCTTGTACATCCTGAGATCCTTGCGTTCATACAGACAGACGGACAGACAGAGGGACAGACAGACGGGTATGGTTATATCGACTCGTCATACTGATCAATAATATATATACTTTGTGGGGTCTGCCACGCCTCCTTCTGCCTATTACATACATTCGCACTAAACTAGTATACCCTTTTACCCTTTGGGTACAGGGTATAAAAATAATAATAATAAAAAAATAAATAAATAATAAAATAAAATAGGAAAAGAATTTTTATATTTTACCATTTATTATAGAATAGCAACAGTTTTTTGGTAATCCCTGTTGTGCGGAACAATTTTTCGAAAAATTTTTATATTCTTACTGATATATTAATTGAGAGAAATAACTATATATATAAAGCGATATATTTTTTCAGTGTAATTTTAAGTATAATTGTTTTTCCGATTTTGCCGTTTAATTTGAAATAATTTGGATTTTGTATGGTTTTGCAGTTCGATATGATGTAAATTAAAAATGGATACTCCAAATCAAAGCATCGATGTTTGATCTCTACAAAAGAATCGATTATTTCGATTCTTGGTTGTATTGTTTCCGTCTCCATAAAGAAACTACCTTGTTAATCTTGCGAGTATGGGTATGCTTTTCCATTTTGTTTTTTTGATTTAGTAAATAGTTTATTAATCAATCATATATTGGGCGTTGTTTTCAGTAGATTGCAACGACGCTGCAGCAGTATTAAAATTAGAAAAACACCTGGCCCTGCTTAAAGAGGAATATACGAAGTTACAACGAAATTATGGGGAATTGGAACGCAAGTATGGAGAAGTTATCGCATCAACATCGGATTTAGAATCAACAGGACAGTTAAGCAGTTTTGTATCGCGACTTTTATTGACTGTTACCTCATTGTATGGGCGTTCGGTTTACTCTGATATAAGCATAAGAACTAGTGCCAAAGTTATGCCGGCGCACAAATTTGTGCTCCATGCTCGGTCAGATGAGTGGGGCGAAGAAGTTCTTGAGGGAAAGCAGGAATTGGATTGGTCTGATTTGGAAGAGGATATTGCGATGTCCCTGTTACGGTGGACCTATACGGATATAGTCGACTTGAAAAATGATAGGCTTGCTTTAGGCCTTCTACGTGTGTCCCATCGATTTGGTTTACCAACACTTTTGGGCTTGTGTGAGCGTGCTTTGGTAGCTTCGGTGGGCGTGCGGTCCTGTGTTCGATTCTACTGTGTGGCAGAGGAAGTGGGAGCTTCTACTCTACTTGAATATTGCTCAGGAATCATATCTACACACTGGGATGATTTGACTGCCCAGGATTTCGAACACATGTCTGGGCCTCTGCTGTTTAAAATGCTAAAAAGCAAAACAAAGTACCCGCTTCATGCCGCTGTTCGGCTGTTGCGCGAGGACGTTGTATTCTTGTGCCTTATTGAAAATGATGGAATGGTGAGTATTGGGATTTTCGTTGTATTTGAAGTTACTATATTTACCACTATTCGAGTTTATTGCCACGATTTCTTAGTTCTTTTAAAGTTGTTTCGAAAATTCGTTCTCAGTATATGTATGTATGTCTGTTAAGTTAACAAGTTTTTCTTTTAGAAGATAACTTGGAATTTATGTATACAATTTTAACCACACATAAGTAAATATTGCAGAGGTCAGGATACACAAGACACCCATGAGTTTACAAAAATGCAAATTACTTTAAAAATATTGGTGCGCTGACAACAGTTAATCTCTAAATTAGTTTAGACGTCCAAGTTTCACAATTTTCTTATTCATAGTCTAATTAAAAACCACCCACTTGTGACAATACCAAGGCGATGTACCAGAAAATCATAATTAATACTTTGCTGTGGAGATTAGGGTGATTGGATGAATTACATAAATCTCCACGACAGTAACAGTGGACGTTTCTTGATCCAGCCAAGTTATTGCCTTTGATTTCTTTACAACCCTCTGCGTATACTTCTTGAACTAAATGCTCCTGTTCCCATTGTTTATTGCGAAAAACCTAAAAATGAAACGGGTATAATAATACACTGAATTAAATGTAAGCTGTCCAAATATTTCACACCTGAGTCGTGTTCTTTTGTTGAGCGCAGCCCCTTGTTATGGTTTCTTGTCTTTGTCCATTCTGAAGGTGCAAAACAGAAACTGACTTTAGACACATTGTAGAGTAACGACACTCTACTGTGTATTCCGATGTCTCGATGAACTTTGAGCACAATGGAGTAACCTGGGTTTTATTGTCGACAACATATTTTTCAACCGTTACGGAACATTTGTAGCATTGTAAAGCATCACAGGTACCGAAGTTTCCTAAATTGAAATTGTAAAATTTAAAGTCACGTGAAAAATTTAAAATCTCATATTTAATTGTGCATTTATACTGCATGCTTAAGGAATTTAACTCTGAGTTTGATGTCGCTATTTACATTTGCTTTATGCACATTCTATGTTATTGGTTTGATTTTGATCTGTTATAACTAAAAGCTCCTGTTCCTAGTATATGGTGAATATACTGTGTATGTATGGACAGTACGTAAGTTAGGTCATACCCATTTGATTCTGTTTTACACATCTTAAGGAATATGAATGGTATATGCATATAATACAATATCTACATATGTATGCATGTATAACTAAATATGTACATATGTATGTATGTACATATGTATACTTATTGGGTCGCCTTAGTGCGAGTACTATCAGTACTATATGTTTTAACAATATCTTATGCAAGTATTTATATAGCAAATATGTACATATGTATGTACTTTTTTAAATAAATGCACACATACGATGGTGAACGCGATTACCAACCCAAAAAATCAATAAACATAACGCAAATAAACAACCAGCGACTGTTTTCTGCCAATTTTGTGCTCGGCATTTTACTTTAGTGGCAGTAAGGTTCTCTCTCACAGTCGGTAATGATGTCCTTCTAGCATTTGATAGATAAATCGGAACTCTGGAAGTAACAATAACACATTCCGTATTTTCAAAATTGTTTTCTAATTTTTTATTTTATTACTATTGTACATATGAATGTATGTATGTGTGTATATGCGGTGCAATTGGAAAAATAATTTTTCTGCACAATTAATTTTTTTTAATTGTTCTTGATTGTTGTGTTAATATCTCTTAAACCTGTCCATACACATTTCCATTTGCCACATAATGATACTTTCATTTAGAAATAGGTCTATCGATTGCGAAAAATCAAACGACAATCAAGTTAACAGTATAGTGATGTGTTTATTTAAATAAAAAATTGTTTTATGTAATTCAGCTATAAAACGAATTAATACAGATAAAATTCCGCAAAAAGAAACAAATATGAAACAGGCTAATATAAATGGACACGTTGTGGATGCATGCTATAGAGTTGCTAAAAGAATATCGATATAATTTTTTTTTTTGTAAATATCGGCGACTTGCTATTCCGTTTTATCTGACGATTTTACTCATTCGATCGCTAAAGGGAATCTGAATCCTGAGGTGAATGCTGGTTCAGCATTTGTGCTTACAATTATACGTTTATTTACTATATGATATATCTCTTCCGACACTCTGTAAGTTTTTAAAGAGTTAATTTCCCAAATAGCAAATTACTTTGTCACGATTCGAGAGCTAGCCCATAAAGTACAATAAATAAATGTATGGCTATATGTGCATCCATACATATGTACATACATATGTATATTTATGTACATACATATATAATATGATAGGGATAAATCAAGGCAAGTAATTTCTAGAAAGTTATTTGGTCAACTTATGCAACTGCACAAAATTTAAATGAGCATACACATACATTATGTACATACATGTATGTATGTTTGTATATATATGTATCTACCTTTATCATAAATATTTCTTCTACTTTTTAATAAAAAGTTACAAAAATACAGCTCAGTTGTATTGTATTCTTGTATTCTTTCTCAGAGTAAATAAACCAAGTTTAAAGTTAATCTGATTTCTAATTCTCTAAAAACCACTTCTTGGTGCTCACCCACACTTTAACAGGTTCTTAACGCTTACCATTTGGGCTCTGCGTTGATACACACATACATAAATACATATAATGGGTTGAAAAAGCATATATATATTATACTATTTTATATACATATATGTATGTATGTACATGCATACATACATAAACATGTATGTAAATAAAATACATACATATGTACATATGCTTAAATATATAGATTGTGACATTGAGGGCTAATAGTTTCTAGAATTAAACACTTTAAAATTTAACAACGACATACATACATTCCTCATTTATAAGTGCAGCTCGTTCAAAAATCTGGACTGACCCTGTCCCGCGCGGGCATTTAATTTTGATTTAAAAATCGGGACGTCTGGCAACGCTGATGGGTACATTTTATTTTTTGATGCAGGCGCTATCTATCCCCATATGCATGTACATACATATACATACATATAAATGTATGTATTCAATTGTACAGTTCAACACTAATCCATATATGTTTTTTGAATGTGAATGTTGATAGTTTAAAAGAAGTGTTTCTGCTTTTGCAAATCGCAAGAATACGAAATAAGCTTAACGCTTAATGTCTCCCAGAATTCTGCAGCATACATTTGTAGCGTTGTTAGCTGACGCAACCGTTTAACACAAACAATAAATCGCTAGTAAATATGCGATCAGCTGATATGCTAGAGATGGGATAACCTAATTGGCTGTAAAAACACACGAATCCGTATGCACGGTGAATGGATACACAAATTTTTCGTTCGAAATCGAATAATTCAACAGGACTTTTAAAAAAAAAAACAACAAATTGTTTTTTCGGCAATTCAATTTATTTTATTCAAAATAGTCTCCTTCTGCTTCAATACAGCTTTTTGCACGATCCAAAAGCATGTCAAACGAGTGTTTTAGCTCGTTGGCCGGTATGGCCGCCAGTATGCCGGTGCAAGCCTTTTGAATGGCCTCTACGTCTGCTTGAAAACGCTTTCCTTTCATGGGCAAATGCATTTTTCCGAAAAGGTAGAAGTCGCACGGTGCCATATCAGGTGAATACGTCGAGTGGTAAATGGTTAAAATGTGATTTTTGGTCAAATAATCGGTCACAAGCGTCGATCGTCTGAGCAATTTTTGGTCGTCAGTCAATTTGTGCGGAACAAACCGTGCACACACCTTTCGTAAGCCCAAATGTTCGGTCAAAATGTTTTGGAGATGTTCAATTCCATTTCCATAAATTTCAATGATTTCGGCTGATTTTTGATGAATTCACGCACAGTTTCGATGGAATTTTCGGTGATCACCAATTTTGATTGGCCCACATGTTGATCGTCATTTATGTCCTCCCGACCACTTTGAAAACGTTGAAACCACTCGTGCACTCTGCTACGGGATGGGCAATAATCGTCATAAATTTGTTCCATCAATTGAAACGTTTCGGTAAAAGTTTTACCAATTTTAAAACAAAATTTAATGTTGGCTCTTTGTTCGAAGCTCATTTTCGCACCGATAACACAACTGACACTTAAAACGCAATAACTTCACTTCCAATCGATGAAATGTCATGTCTCATCGATAAAGATAGCAGATTCTAACACTCCAGTCGACATATAGATAGCGCCACCAGGGGGCTCTATATTCAAAAGTCTGTGGCGACTCTGAACAGCACCATCTTTTGCTAATCATACTCAACTAATTTGAACACCTAGTTCCGATATAAGTATTATGATGTGCAATCGATCTCCACGAGGCAAGCTTGCTGGTACGCCGTTACAGCAAACCTATACAAAGTACTTTTTGTTTTATGTTAAACACATCCGCATTATATATTCAGTAGGGAATATTCGAACTTCCCATAAGTCCTGTTTAGTTTGGATATCAATCAATAATTCCATCGAAGTTTGAATACAATTAACAGAAAATTTCAATAATAACATCTTTTAATTTATTGAGATCAATTAGAACAAATCATATACAAACATACATATGTACATATGTACATCTGCCCGCAACGCGAAGCAGAATCTGCTTTCTGCTTTACTATCGCTTACGCAGTCGTTGCCTAGCGACGGTAACTGTAAACTTTTGGCATTTTGCCTTTGAAATTAACAGGCGTAAATGATCAAAACGAAACGCGAGCCACAAATTGACTTGCAGTTGTTGTGGTTTTTCGTTTTAAAAATTTGATTTAAAACCGTAGAACAATATTTATTACAATCAAACAACAGTGCTCGATTGTCCAATGTATACATACATACATACGAATGTACATACATGCTATATATGTACGTACCAGAGAACTGCAACAAGTATGTTCGACCACCCTTGCTGAAAATGCAATCAAATCAGATCTTTGCTTGGTTGCAAACGAGCTTGAACGAGTTGAGTACTCTCAGCATTTTTCTTATGATCGAACTTGCATGAGCAATCTTTCTATTTTTACGAACAAGCACCGGTCTTGATTGGTTTGCTTTCAAACAGTTCAGACTGGGTCCTGATCGAAGCAAACCACACTTTGCAGAATGAGCGTTTGATCGAACGAGTATAGTGCCGTTATTGGTCGAGTATTGTTTGGGTATTGCGCGAGCTATACTCGGGTATTACTCACGGGTATTGCGCAGGTTTTACCCGAGTATGACCGTATAAAATATGCATGTATTGTAGGAGACCGATATGTGAAGTGTTTATGTAGGTGTGTGTGTGTTTGTAACCAATTCGACACTTTTAATGCTTTCTGCACAGTTTATTTTAATCACGTGCGTTCGGTAAGCCTATGCACACACGACTGACTGTCGATGCGCTTACAAAAGAGATCTTAGCCTAAGAAAATATTTGAGCAGTGTGTACACGCAGGATATTATATTAAGAAGTAATAATTGATAATATGCTAGAGCTACACGGTCTTGTGTGCTACACGATCTTGTTTTCTACAATTCGGCCTTCCTACCCCTAAGATCCCCTGATCTTTAATTTAGTTTTGTTATTTGCCTAGACATACTACACTTTAATAATACAATTTTTTTTTAAATTTATATGACAATTTGATTAGTTACTTATTATTTCTATATTTAAGATTTACACGAATTTATTTACTTATTTACTTATCTTTTCCTATCCAATACTTAATGTTTTGGCCACTCCAAACTCCTTGATAAGGGATACGTGACAGTTGAAATCCTTCCACGTATTTTATTAAATATCGATCATTTCATTTCATTATGTACATAAGGGCCTTTGTGCTTAGGTATTAACTTTCTCGAAATTCCCGCCGTACTACCAAAGTTGTTGACCATTATGTAATCCCCTTCTTTGTATACAGTTTCTTTTCTCTTTTTCTGGTTGTAATATTTTTCATTGTTCATCTGTGCCTGTTTTTGATTCCGTTTTTCCTTTTCTCTAATATCTTCCAAATTTCTAACATTTTTATCAACTACTAACTCTTCCAGATTTTCTCTTAGCTCGTCAATAACATTTCCTTTTTGCTCTGTTCCAAATAACATTTTACTAGGCGTCTGATTTATACTTTTTTGAACCGTATTATTTAATGAATATTCAACATTTTCGATAACCGTATCCCAATGCAATCCTTTTTCAGGCTCTACTAATTTCGCTATCATTGGTCCTAGACTCCGATTAACCCTTTCCACCTGTCCATTTGCTTGCGGGGAAGCCGTTGCTATCTTAACATGTTTTACATTGCACTCTTCCAGAAACTGTCGAAATTCCTCTGACGTAAAACAGCTCCCTCTGTCAGAAACAATATACAAGTGCCTGCTGTACGCTCTAAAATAATCCCTTAATAATGCAATTGCTTCCTTTGTATTTGTTGTTTTTGTGGGATACAATCTTATAAACTTCGTAAAACCGTCTATCACTACAAATAAATGCTTCTTCGCCCTTCCTGCATCCACTGGCCCATAATGATCAATGTGAATCATTTCAAATGGGTTATTTCCTTTTGGGATACTGTGTAAGAATCCCTCACCCTTCCCTGATTTTGGTGAAAATGCTACGCACCTTAAGCAATTTCCTATATGAGTGACAACTTTTTCCCTTAA